CCCCCATCGGTGTAACAAGAAGCCCAGTTGACCAATGCCACCCTCACTGCCATCATTGTTACGATTCGAGGACCTCTTTTCTAGGCTGGTGCATGATCAGGGCAGCTGGCATTGGTCAATCTAATTCACACCTCTGGCTACCCAGGAAAGTTTCGGTAGTGGCTCGGTACTCAAGCACTCTCCCGGGCAGTTGTGAGATTTTTCACCCACACCGCACTAACCATCTGCATCGCTCAGGGCTCACATGATGCCGATGGGGTACATCTACCCTCAAATTGCACCCCTACTCCCCTTCCTCGCCCAGCGGCATGGCCTTAGCGTTAAGAAGTTTAGAGCCGGCGGAACCAAGCTTGCCGCTTGCGAGTTTTGTTTCAAATCAGGGCTGAACGGGCAAAGCATTTTTCGTCATAGACAGGTGAAACCCTCGGAAAGAAGCAGATTTTTCTTTTCGTTTCTGCATTGGACAGGTTTCCGTTTCATACAGGTGACTAAAGAGGAAGAATATATCAAGGGGGGAGCGGGGAGATTCCGTTAAGACAGGTTTCCGTTTTATACAGATTTCTGTTATGGCAGGTTCGACTGTATTTGAGTATTGATGACACAAGCTCATGTTAGAGAACGACAACTAAACGCCATTTGCCGATATTTATATTTAGTTACAGCCATCTTGTTTGACCTCGCAAAGGGGATGCCCGCCGCGTCATCTGATCGTGATTCTATAGATCTAGATCTAGACTAGATCTTGGCCTAGGTGTTGATTTATTTTGCGTAGCACGAGGTTTACACTGGCAGTTTCCAAGCTTCCCTCTTTGAGTCTTTCCTAGTGGTTCCCCCTAGTCCTAGTATACTGCTCTTGCTCCTCTTAGTGTCCATTTGCAAACCTTGCAGTCTCGAATTAGATCTGCTCCTTTTGCAGCTCAGCATCCTATTGAATCCAATCTCTTACAAGTGCTTAATTAATAATTTCTTGTGCTTACAAAACTTTAAAAGAAACGATCCAGTCGATCATTTGCACTGCGTCCTTGAACTTTGTTTGAACTTGCTTTCGTACATAATATAAGCATACTCTTATTCTTTTTCCTTATCTCAGTTTACGTAGTGTACAGCATTAGAATCAATCTGGGCAGAAGAAGGGTGCTGCACTATCACAGACAACCGAACCGAACAGTTCTGCAAACTTGAAGTTGAAGCTACAGCGAGCACCTAGCACACCTATGTGATTGACCCAAATGTAGATGGCGTATTTCCGCCCTCTATTTTTGTTGTCTTCCGGTGCCCCCTCTGTAACCCCCCAGATTTTTTTAAACCTCAAGGGCGCAGCCCCCCCTGGAACCCCCCGATTGGTCCAAAGGAGCAAGTAAAGAAGAAAAGAAAGACTAGAATTGTGAACAGGTTTAACTCTTTGTCATCTTCAGTTGATTTTTATTCAGAACGACAAAATGATCACAATCTGAAACAGTGAAACACATCATGCAGATAACTGTAACAAGGTACAATCCTCTATTTTTAGTTTTCAATTACTCTTCAAGAATCTTGTAAGACAAAGAGTAGATCTAAATTATAGAGATGATATGCTTGTCATGTAATACTGAATCTTGCAAATTGATGCATCACTATTCATATATATATATATATGTATCAATATATATCGCTGTCTGGGTGCAAGAACCCTACAAGCGCCAATTTGCAATTTTCCAGGAGAGCAAAAAAACTGATTCATTTGTATACCCTTTCATGTTGGAAAAAGAAACTCAGATATATTGTTTGCTTTTGATTTCTGCATATAACCATGCTGTATTTACTTACAACGGGTTGTAATTAAAGACGAAAACACCAAAAATGTGCCTTTATCGCTTTATGACACTCATGTTTCCTTGGTGCAATAATCCGAATATTGCCTGACACTTCGTTCGAGCCTCTGTTCCCTTCATGCTCAGGCCTCATATAACAGTGGGCATCTACCTTCGAATAGTCGTAGATTGTGAAGTTGTACACCCCAAGTCTTCTTTTGTAAAAATAACTTGAACTTTGTCCATGAGGACAGAAGAGAATTAATTGTAAATCAAAAGCGCAGCCTGAATACATATGATGGTGATTTCGAGGCACCTTTTACTTCATCTTTTATCAGCCTGGCTGTTATCTTATTCTGTATTTGCTCATTGTACTGAGTCTCTTCTCCTCACTTGGATTTTGTTGGTTCCTGAAAGCAGCACAGGTTTCACGCTGATCTTTCTTTGGTCTGTGAAATGCCAAGTTAAATTTGTTATAAAAAATTCGCCTGTACTTGTCCTCGGAAGCCTTCACCCATCCTTTTCTCTCACACATCTCTAAATACAGTCGATACATGGCAGCTACTGATAAAGATGAGTCTATAATGCGGTGAAAAATTCGTGGCGCATCTTAGTTATTTCCGGCGCTGTTCAGTGGCGACAAGGCTCTTACAGATCTCCGTATTTTGAATAAATTTTTACACTTACACTCAATTTTTACACTGTCTTGTGATAACTTATTTCATACTATGGATCTGAAGTCTTTCAATTGTACATATTTCTTATGTTTTTGATTGTTTTTAGTGTGTCAGTGCAAATTCACCGGTTCAGTGTTTTGAGTGAAGCTCCACCATTGAGACAGATCAACAGTTCAGCGTGTTAAAGCGCCTTAGACTGGCAGACAGAAACAGTGTTGCACTCATCAAAATGTACTGAACTTTTCAATCTACATAAAGCATTGCATACAGGTCCCTTTTTTCTTGGAAGTTTCTCTGGTACCTTTGTGTTAATGTAGAATTTCCTTGAATTTCTTAGGCACTTCTGGATGTTTCACTTCCATTTATCAGTGTTCCTTTTCTGTTTTCTACCCCTGGGTGTTCCATCTCCTACCTCCTGTTCTACCTCTAGCCCATCTCCTACCTCCTGTGCTATCTCTGGCCCATCTCCTTCCTCCTGTGCTGTCTCTAGTTTTTATGTCAGTTTTTAAAAAAAAAGTTGCAAAACCTAAAAATGATTGTATGATGTCACTGTCATTACAAAAAGTCCCCCCCCCCCCTCCCGAAATTCTTCTTTTTAGCTACCTGTGCATCGGTCAAGGTCTCTATATGCAGAGATGGGAGAGAAAAGCATTAACCTGAAAATAATTCAGGTAAGTGTTACTAGTTTGTTAAAGGTTGAATGGTCAAGTGATGTAATGAATGGCTGAAGCTCAGTGCGAAAAGTGACCAATAACTTTACTTTGGGGTGCTTGTGTTTTTTCTCAATTTATCAGACTCACTGCAGTTCTGTGAACACTGACGCTTTATCTCAAAGCCTACTGTCCCAGGATGAGGATCTTGTCCATGTACATTTATGTAGCTGGTAACAGCAATGGGCTTATTGGTAAAAATATTTCCCTCTTAACTTGTGAGTGCAAAAGGAGATTCTGTGATCTCAGGTTGTATTCAAAAGTGGGCTGGATAACTGAGGCATGGGCTGGGTGCTCGTCTTCGACAGTTTTGACTGTATTGCATTATGATGTGGGCTGTTTTAGTAAGTAAGGTATCGAATAAAGGGGGGGGGGGGTAGGAATAAATGGAGAGGGGGGTGGACAAGTCCAAAATTAATAACGTGAATTTGGAATAAAAGCGCGGGGGGTGGGGGTGGGGGGTCACGTTCAACCTCATATCCCAGTACTAGTACGAAGAAATCTGTTTTATTTCTCCTTCTGTGAATAAAAGAACAAGAGATCATGAAATTTTAGTGATTTTAGTAAGTTACTGTGACAACTTTTCCCATTTAGGAACCAACAAATTTAATTAAAGAATGTAGATATAATGTTTCACATGATCGTCAGTGGCGGCCAGCTGGAAAATAATAAACGGGGGGTATGGAAGGAGTGTGGGGGTGCACGCTTATTTGTTACCTTAGAGTAATCTGTTCACCTCCTTGGACTTGGACAAGCACAAGATGTGTTGTTTGAACAGTTTCTTGATCTTATAGCAATAGCATAGATGATGTTGATAAATGCTCTTTGTTTGTGTTGCCCCTATATTTCTGCTTAGGGAGCCGTTAAAAAACTTTAGTACAGTCAAAATTTTCCCATTGTCGAGGAGAAAAACGGCTGTCTTTGGCAGGTCGACCACTCGCAAATTGCTTTTGGTATATAAAAATGAAAGGCGGGAATAGGGAAAAGTTGATAGTCTTGAATATATGGTCATTACGGAAAGTTTGACTGCTTTGTTTTGTTTTATTTTTCTTAAAAAGAGGTTTATTGTCTCTCCAGGCACTATCAGGTCATTTCTCAGGCAAGCCCCACGATGTGGGTTCTTGGGGTATATCACTTCCACTACTTTCTAGACTGGAACCTTGGCAGAAAGATAAAAATTCAAGAGATGAACAGAAGACAGAATAAGATAAAATTAATGCGTATGTATGTCCCCACTTCTTTAGATATAGGGGTTGTGGTGCCTCAGTTGTAGCTCGTCAGAGGGGAAGTTACACCAAAGTGGATGGGCCACTATATTATATTTGGTCGTTTTTGGGACAAGCAGGCTAACCAAACTTTTGGGGTTTCCAAAAAATCTTCACCTACACCAAAAGTGGGCATTGCCCTACCTATAGAAGTTTTGTTTCATTGGTGTGTATATTTGTTTGGTTATAGAGAAAACTCTCCTTGTCTTTTAAAGAAACTGAATAAGGGCCAAGAACTTTACCTTCAATTTTCTCAAAACAGCTTTTTTCAGGATAGCCCCCTTGTTCTTAAAAGGGACCATTTATGTCTGGTGGCCAGCCTAGGGTCCCTCAGTGAGTCTGCTCAAGTCTGCTGTCCTCAGAGTGTAAGAAGAGAAAGAGAGAATCCTCCAATCCAAATTCAGCAACGGATGACTGTTTTTTTCTCTGCTTCTCTTGCAGGTTACTAATCCGTGGGATTTCCTGGCGGTGAAAACAAGAGGTGGCATGACCTCATCTCAGTATGGAGATGGGTTCGAACAAATGATGAAAGAGTTGCACCAGTATTTTGACCTGACAGCTGGACAGGGCTGTAATCCACATAAACCTGTACAGGTAAGTGCAGGGCTTTCCATCATTGTGATTTGGTGGAATCGTTTTGGTTTTAAAATCAATTTTAAGCAAATACGATCATAAATTTCCTAATTCTGATTTTTTCTTTTGTTTTGCTAAAGCGAAGCCTATATCCAGTCCCTACCTTCCCCCCTCCCCACCCCTTTTTTTTGGCCCACCTGTTTGTGCAAGAATTTGTTTTGTAGATTTTTTATTCGAAACGTGAAGTTTAATTCTCCTCGGACTTATGTTGAAGAGGTACAAGACTAGGGAATAATAACTAACTTTACATTGATTCTTCTATTGTTCAGCTCTGACTATCTATGCCATTCATAATAAGTGTGTGTATACGCTAAATCCTTTATTCCTAAATGGCACGAACACTCTCATAGTCACATGGAAATAAAGAGCAAAGCTCTACAAAAAGGAGTTTTAATTTATGTCTTACCATACAATTTTCAGTGTTGGAAAAGCTGATTTTACCAGACATATATTTACCATGGTTTTATTATTTCAGAATTTCCTCTTTGGTAGTATTTCTCATCAGTTTTCAGTTGTACTTATTCCACCAGTGCTGTGCAACCCAGTTAACTGTTGCTGTGATACTGCATACAGTGTTCTGCTTTTCCATCTTTACCAGGGTGAGATTTGTGCAGCCCAGAGGAGAGAAAGCAACAAATGGCAAAGGGTTAGAATAGAGGAGATAATGAAAACAGCACGAGGTCAACAAGCAAGGTCTGCCTTGATATTTAGCTTATTGTTCCACAATCGTCCAAATCAGTGTCTTGGGTTTTCTAGATAAAGCTGTTATTCTAATAAAGACATCTAAAGAAATCTTACCATATATGTATATGTTCATTCTGTTTTCTTAATTTTTTCCTAATTTTTACTTGAAAAATAATGAGTGCTCAAATCAAGGTTTTGATATGGGTGCTCTATTTTTCTTTAATTTTCTCAATATTTATACAAATTTGTCTATTTGCTTATTGAGTGACCATGACATAACACTGCTGTTGTGAAACGGCAAAAGAAGTGAGACATTCCATAGAGTCTGTAGGTTAAATGATAGTGCTTTCTCTCAAGAATTTCTGCTTGTTCTTCTGAAAAGATAAACAAAATTTGTAACAGTAAAACCCTCTTTTTTTAAACTATTAAATAGTGTGAGATGTTCATTGCTGTTTTGAATATACTTATTGTTTGTTCCTCATGTACCTTTCAACAAGTTCCATTGGAAGAAATATGGAACTCTTGAAATGTGTGCTGCAAGAATGAGTGTAGAGCATTAATTTCCTTTTATATTTGCCTTGGAGGCATTGCTTCCACTCATCCTTTTCTGTGATTTGAGCGTTACAGCAACATTTCCAATGATCTTTAATCCATTCTACCTCGTTTTTCCTTCCCTCCCCCCACATAAACACACTCTTAGTTAAAGGTGTAATGCTCTTAAGCTTGTAATAGGTATGAAGTATTGTCATTGACATTTTTTTCTTCTAGATGCTTTGCCATTGATGATGGAGAGGAGTTCATGACTATACTTTTGAGGTATGTTTGTTGTTGTATTAAATGTTGATTTACTTTTTACTTTATTGCAGATAGTATGACAGTTTGTCAACTGTGGCCAGAAATTTTTTGACATTTTTATTGGTCCAAGTTTAGATTTTAGGCTGGAATTGAATGGTATCATTGTGGACTACAAGTAATGGATGGTGGAACAGTTAACAGCACTTTGTCTTCACAATCTTTAATATTTAATTAATGACCTATGAAGTAGTTTAAATGGTGCCATCTGATGTATAAATGAAGTTGGGTCTTGGAATACATTTTCGAACATATTTTTAAACTTTAAAGCCTTTAAATGTTATCCGTATGATTAATATCAGGCTGGGCGTTCTTGAACTCAGGTCATTTTGGGGAGTTTTCACGGCTCTCCACCCTTTTGGCCCCCGCTGTATCGGAGATGGATGTTATATTCAGAAGTCCCACATCTTAACTCTCAGCAGTTCACCGAAAGGAAAATCGTACGAATTCGTACGATGAGCATCGGGTGTAGATCTAACGGCAGAAATCCATTCCTTTTTACATTTTGATGCTTCTAATACCTTTTTTATCATAAAAAAGGGTTGAATCTATATATTTTTCATAAAAATAATCATAATTTATAA